TTTTTGTAATAGAGAGCACAACACAAAAATTCACGACACATACAGCCGACGCATTTTAATTTAGTGTGTACCGTATACGACACGGCGATATACGGCCGTAATACGGCGCATACCAAAACGTTAAAATACGGCCCGTATACGTTCGTAAATTCGGCGTATACGGCCGTTTACGGCCGTATCTAGTCGTCGTAATGCTCGACCTGGGATTCTTATATTCATAGTTTCGACACATTTTATCAAAACTTAACGTAGAGCAACTACGGCAAAAAACGTTGATTTTTCTGTTAAAATTTCGGTTTTGGTACTTGATGATCTAGATTCAGCGCACTTACATTAAACCCCCAGTTATCGTGCCTGAAACAACTAACCATGCATGCAATATTTGTAACTTCAACTCAGCTGAAACTTTCAAAAAGACCTTTAAAGTAAGTGCCTCAAAGCAACAAGGCAACCGCTTCGGAAAGCCTTTTCGAAAAACGCTAACACATCACATAGATACAACTGTGAGTGTCACGAAGGGCTGAAAACTCCGAGTTGAAACTTTAAGTTTCAGTTGAATTCAACTTTCAAGTTCGACACTACTGCACTACCCATATCATAAGTAATATGTGAGTTCCACATTTTAGCCCCATAGGGGCTGCGCTGACAAGCTTTTTTTTATTAATAGAATGTAAATGAAATACAGTAAAGAAAATAAAAAGAAAATTTTTACTTTCTAACTTACATTTAAAAAAATCAAAGATGACTAACAAAAAAAATAGCTAATTGAGTACATCGTTCAGGTCGATGATACATTCTGGGGACGATTCCACATTGGCTAACCATTTTTCAATTTCTTTTGATCTGTTTAAACTTAAATCAATATGTCCAAATGATTCTTGCAAGAATCGAGGATTAGGAAATAATGATGATGATGATGTTGTACTATTATCTTCATTACCCAGGTTGATCAAGACGGACTCGTTTACGGTCTGTTTATCGACGGTAAACGATGTCAAAACGGTATATTTACGGCAGTAAAAAGGCCGTATTTGCCCGTAATACTTGGCGCAGTAATACGGCACCGTAAACGGGACTGAATTTTCATGGTTTACGGCTGTTTCTACTCCGTACTCTCATGATAATATGACCCGTATTACTGCGCCAGATATTACGGCAAACTTTCGCCCGTAAAATAGTCGTAAAGTAACCGTCAACGGCCGTATACGGACCGTACTGTTCGACCTGGGTATCGGTGCCTTCAGAATCATTTCTTATAATTTTTGATGTTTCCATCGATTGGTCACGTTCTTCCATAAAGATGTTGAAGAGAATATCCCGGATATAAGAAAGTTCATCATTATCAATGTAGTTCGGTAAGGGTGTTGGCCATTCTTCTTCCAAAGAGACAGTAATCGGCTTTAAAACGATATAAGACTTTTCTTCAGGATTAAAATAACTTGAGCCTTGTGATAATGTATGCTTCAAACTTCTGCTTCCATGAATTGGAGGAGCTGGTTGAATTGATAATTGTGGTAAAACTACTTCAGATGTAGGATCAAGATGGTAGAATCTAGTAATAAGTAACACATTGACTGATGTTGGCGATTTCCTGATTACCACACATGGACGTTTGTTAGCTCTGTTATTCTTTTTTTCGTAGTGATGACTTTGAAGATGATGCAACTATTGATGATTTGTCATCGTGGATGTCAAATAGTTCATGTAACCCAGGTCGGTCAAAACGAATATCGTTACGGCGTCGCTTACGGTCGTAAACAACAAGAGTACGGGGTATTTTCGGCAGTATACGATGAAAATACGGCCCGTTACGGCACTGTATTTCCGCGTTTTAACAGGGGCAGTAATACGGCCGTATTTGCCCGTACCGTATATACGGTGAGAGGCATACGGCCGTTTACGAAAGTTATGGTAGTCGTTTACGAACCGAATTTTAATTCGTTTACGGCCATAAATAGGTAGTTTATTTTCAGCTTAATCGTCATATTAACTTGCTGTTGTATGCTGGCGAAGCCTATAAACTACTACAATATTAGAATTCCTTTTTTCTTCGTTTTAAAAAAGCATTTTTTATTAGAAAAACTAAAACAAAAAAGAAGAAACATTTATTTTATTTAAACTTTCACCTATTTTCAATGATCGGACAAGTTACATGGGAAGTCAAAATAGTAAGTAACGAGAGGCACAAATGTACAAAAAAATTTCATAAAATTTTCAAAGCATAATAAATCTAAAAATAGAAAGAACAAACAACTTTCTGTCGAAAAAGTATTAAAAAAAGTTGCCATTATGTTTTTCTAAATGAAAAGAAAGGTCGATAATGTCATCATGCTGCTAAAGTCTCTTGCGTACTCACGAAAAGCAAAGATCCAAGAAGTTGGAAATATTCAAATCAATATCTTTTTCAAACTTATAAATGTTTTTGAATTTTCTACATATCATTGTTTCGAACGGATCAATAGAAAAAAGGAAAATAAAAAGTCGATTAAAACTCCGTAAAACCCTCTAAACTGTGTTTCAAACCGCACCTAAATCGTATTCGAAGCAGATTTTCATATCGAAACAATTTTCTATAGGGGCGCCACAATCGAGGATTTATGTTGTATTCTTTATTGAAGTCGATCTCTTAGGAAATGTAGAACTGTTTTGGTAGTTTTCATGCAGAGATTAAGGAATAACGTTGTTGCCGCTGAATTGTGTTTTCTGCGTCTGCTGACAGCATTCCACAGATACGACAAAAATACGTATCGCTTACGGCGCCCGTTACGATACCGTTTACAGTGCTTCGTATACGATCATCGTAAATACTATCGTATTTCACCGTATCAAGATCGTATACGATCATTCGCAAATGGTCAGCCGTGACGACCACCGCATTTTGTCGCATTATCATCGTTTACGACCGTTTACTGATCGTTTTATCCGACCTGGGAAACTATATTTTAGCTTGTATATTTTCCCAACAATTGGTGAAATTTCTTGAGTTTCTACAAGTACTAATGAAAGTACAGTGGTAAAAAAAGAAAATGTTTTCTTGTTTACCATTTATTTGTTTATTTTATTTTGGATTTTCAACTATAAAAAAACGCTAGTTAGTGACAAGTAGTGCTCATCCTACGGATTCGCTGACCCTTTTCTGAAAGAAAAAGAATGCTACTTCATTGTGAATTACAAAAGCAGTCTACGATGAACTTGTATGAAGTTTGTTTCGGAAGACAGTTATCCAACAGAGTAACTAATTCAGTCGTGATTTATTGCCTTATTCAACAAGTAACGCGACCTTAATGTCACTAACGCTTTACTAAAAGAATATGAGCATTTAAAAAGCAAAAACGCTTATGTGAGGCACTTCAGATAGGTCCCTGGTCAAACAATACGGTTTGTATACGGCCGTCAAGCGTTAAACACGGCCCCTATCTGAAGTAAAGTGAAGTGAACTAAAACTTTTCACCAAAGTGCGCTACTATCAACGTGTATATACATTGATTGTGGCGCACTTTGGTTAAAAATTTTGGTTCACTTCACTTTACCCCTATCTGATGACCCTATTCAATCACCCGGGTTATAGCCTGGTAATAATTGCAACAGAAAAAACCATTGATAGCTAAGTTTAGATAGAAAACGGACTTGCAAGTATCATCAAGCAATCTTTGTTCAAGTTCTATCTATCGATACAAAATAACTAGAGTGAGATTAGGTGCATCGGAACTAATGAAGCTAGAACAACGTTCAGAAAAATTTCAATGAGCTCGATATAAAAGAAAGAAAACTAGCCATTTAGGAGAGCGATCATCGAAATACTTCGTTCCAGGGTGTGGGCGTGTGGGGTGAGTGTGGGTGTTGTCTTATCAGTCACAGTTGCATGCACACCCACGCCCACACCGTTATCAGAATGATGTATGGCGAAAACAAAAGAAAAGTACAAAGAAACTGAAACACAAAAGCTTAAAGTCCAATCGGTCAATGTGCAGTTCGTTTATCGAAGAGATCCCATATTCCAGCAGTTATCAGGATGCCACTTTCAAGTCGGAGGGTTTGGTCGGATGATAACCAACATGAGCCGCTGTTGCACAGCCAGTTCTTTTTTTGAACAAGGAAGATAACTTGCTAATCAACTGAAATTTCATTTTGAGTGCACTATTTCTTTGACAGGATTTTTTTATGCTTCGTAATCCCTTCACGGTGAAAATCTCGTTTTCAGTTGGCGCTCGTGTGCGTCTTGTTGTTACTCTTGGGAACGATGTCGGTGACTTTAGCTGGAGATGAGAGAAGAGCAGATGCTCTTCTCTGCTGTACTTGTTGCTTCACCTGTTGAACAATCTCCAGAAAAATCGGTGCTGAACGTCTTGTTTGTATATGCTGATTAATTGTCATGCGTCAAGTCTCTCGATCCATTGTTTACCTTCTCGAGTTTCATGTTGCACACTTTTCAAGTTCGCCAATAATCATGTGTTGCCATCTTTTTCATAGCGCAGAATGAAAAGGGTGTTCTGAAACGGAAAAGTGGGAGAAAATTATTTTCTTAACAAGAGAGAAAGTAACATTCGAGGTTTTTTCATTCGATTGAGGGTGTGGGTGTCTTCTCTTCATTGAAATCCACACCCACACCCACACCCACACCCTGAAAGTTTCATCAGAATCGCTTTCCACGTTGGTATCCATTGTTGTTTTCTGTTGTAATTTCATATGAAATTCGACTGATTGGCTTCATCGGATGATTTCGGTTTGAAGTTTCTGATCACATCATACCCCGATTAGTAATGAAATTCGATTCTTTTTATTTTTCTATTGTCGATTGGTCAATAGTTGCCTGAAATAGCAAGAAGCAAATTTAAAAATTTCTTAAAGAGTAGTAGAAGAAGAAAAAGATTGACGTCATCTGTTTTCGAGAATATGAATACGTAGGGATTTCATTTGAATCATCGTGGCTTAGTGGCCTTCTTCGTTGTTATGAATAATATGCTTCGATTGCTGTTTGATCATTGAAAGGAAAAACGAAAATGACTCGTATGTTCCTATGGTATTTTATTGTAACATTAAATTTTGCTACGAAAATTCGTGCTGTTATTGATACAGTGCCCAGCGATTTTTTCTTTTCAAGCAATGTACCAGAAGCAACGAGCAAGTTTGTAAATGCTTGTAATATAGCTAATGGATCGTTCGAATATTTCAATCATACTATGGTTGGTCCACAAAATGAAGAGTTACAAGCAACAGTTTGTGTAGTTGGTAAGTCTGATGCACGCGGGGTAGTTTTCACGATATCAGGCACCCATGGTATCGAAGGCTATGCTGGATCTATGGCACAGATCAGTTTACTTCACATGTCTGACATGGTTCTTTGGAAAAATATAAAGATTGTTAATTTGCACATGATCAACCCTTATGGAGCAGCTTATACGACCAAGGAAAATGAAGATAATGCTGATCAATTGAAAAATGTAGCGGCTTACTACAATCTAAATTACGATAATGCGATTTTACAGGAGTTGATTGACGGTATTGATCTGCCAAATTTAAATAATATGACTACACTACAAAACGCATTTTTAACTTTTCAAAAATTACAAACAAAATACGGTGCCGAAGCGGTCAACTTGGCTCTCAAAACTGGCCAAGGTAAACGACCACAAGGCGTTGCCTATTTTGGATTATCGAAATCATGGTCAAGTCAAATCATAGACGGAGTCATAAGCAAATATGTTGGCAAACCGGAGAAAATTCTTTTGATTGATTGGCATACTGCTGTAGGTAATTACGGCTATTGGACATATTTAGCATTAGATAGTGACACAGCAGATATATTCAAAAAATGGGTACCGGCTGCTTCAACAGAGCCTTACGATATTGGTTTGCCCACAGGTGGCGAAGTGGCCTATACTTTTGTCAAAGAGAGAACAGGTGCTAAACGTGTCTTCCGCGTTACCTGGGAGGCTGGCACTTACAATGTCACTCCAAATACGAATGCCATGTTTTTCCAAAGATTACACTGTCGTTTCTATGGTAGTGCTACAGAACCATTCTGTCAACAAGTTATTGCCAATACGAAAGAATATTTCTATCCTCAAGGTGCCAATTGGAAAAATTTGACGTATTATGATATCAATCGAGTTCTTCCTCTCGTATTGTCCGGTTTTGCAAATGAAGAAGTCAATTGCGGCCCTTTAGCACAGGTATCAATACTCCTTATTGTTATGGGACTTTTTTATTCGCTTACATTTCCACAAAAACTAATAGATTGACGAAATCAAATCACGGTCAAGTTTCTTGAACAGTTTCAAGTTTTTTTCCCTCTATTGCAGTAGGTTCAACACAGTCTTTGTTTGGTTCCCATATACTAACCGATTGACGACAATGAAATAAATATTAAAAAAACCTATACAGTGGAATTTGAGTGTATGTGTGTGTGTGTGTGAGTCTTCCCAGCAACCTCCCCCACGCCCAGATCCAGATCTGCACTATTAGACTGTCTCATATTGCTTGGGAAGACCACTTGTGATCTTGTGAAAAATATTTGTAAAATAATCATTTACGTTTACGAAACTAACTTTGTCCAGCTAGTTAAATCATAACGAAGACGCATGTATTTTTGTATAGAAGAATAGTTAAACTTTTTCGCTCGTTCTTTTTGTAAAAAATGACATGAAAGATAAAGTCATTAGTCTAAAACGTTTTTTTGTAATAATCAGCACTGCATCTGCTCAGCAACATTCTCCATTTCACTGAATAATTTATTATTCATTTCTCTTCACTTGTATTCTACTGCTCCCATAACATATCTTAACTTACTTACGCATGTGCACAACGATGAATTAAATCTGCATCTTCAGAGAATAAAGAACGTTATCAATTGTGGTAGATTATACAGTCCGTATTAGCTAGTTTTTGAGGATCCTTGGTCTAATAATTATGATCGATTCCAAAGCATAACAGATTTTGGTAGATTATAATCGGTATTACTTCATTTTAACCGTGAAAAAGTGATTAGTTACTGATGAAAAGTGGTCCTAACTAATTAATCAATAATCATAAACAAGCGATTACACTTCCTTTTAATCTATTTTATTCGATTCTAGTAAAGAATTGGTGATTATCGACGAAAAAACATTAATTCCAAATCAAACACGAGAAAAGCTCGATTATAATCTTGAAACTAATCCAAATAAAGCACAATTAAAAAGGTCGATTATTCCCTCTACTGAAAGGAGGGTCTTACGAAAAGTGAGTTAAATGCGTTCGTTCGTTCGTCCAATAGGAAAGCAGATGCATAAACTAAACTAACCTCTAATAATATCTGTAGGCATAGGTTTGACCGAACGTGATCAGGGTCGGGGAACACAATTGCATTTCCGGATTTTTGATATTTTGCTTTTTTACGAGAGAGAAACACTGTGTTGTGAAAAAATAGTTTTTACGGTTAGAGTAAAGTTTGTATTAATGTATATGTTGAATAACTACATACGTTGTCTGTGCATACATCTTATTCAGCGGAATTCATGTATCCTTGCAAACTATAGTATTATATATTATGTGAAGTGTTAGTATGTAGTGTGAATATGGGTGTCAGCGTTCCCCATTCCCAAGCGTTCTGTTCTTAGGAACGGGAACGCGTCTCAAGTTGCGACTTTAAAGAGATTCTAAGTGACTCGAAGTTTTTATCCATTATTATTTATAATTTTAGTTCATGAAAGTTTTCCGTTCCCGTTCTCAGAAACTGGAAGTTAGCTAGCGTTCCCGTTCCTAGGAACGGGAACGGAAAACCCCAATTGAATTTCCTATCGAAAGGAATAGGAATCTAGAGATGCGTTCCCACTCTTAGGAACGGGAACGCGTTCTCATTCTCAGGAACGAAACGCGAACGCGACACCCCTAAATGTGAGGTATCAGTACTATCGAATGTTTTTGACTGATTGTAAGATGTATAGGTATCCAGCTTTTATTTGAAGAAGTGAACCATACAACGTTTATTAAAAATTAATAGAATATGATATGGAATTAAAGATAAGTCGAACATGCAATCCATAACATATCTTCTTTAGCTGTCGGATTAGTTCGAAAGTCGTGTGATTGTTAAAAAATGTTTGCTCTACATAGATATTGGAAAGCGTTTAGGAGTACTTTTTGCGATTCGGTCCAATCTTTTGAGCTCTTCGCGCTGCGCTGTTGATGGTTTCACTTGAAGAGCTGCGAATTCAAAAGGATGTATGATCAGTAAACCATTCAACCGTTTCACTCGTGAGAGTGGAACGTAAACCGATGCTACTGTGACTGGGCCGGGTGGCAAGACCAGATCAATGATAATTTTGCCAAGCGTTTGGCCTTGACTCTTATGTGTTGTCACGCTGTAGACCAGAGTTAAAGGAAGCGCTTTACGCTTGACTGAGGTTTTTTGTTGTTTTTTAAAATTTTTGCGGCTTTTGCAGCGTTTCCAGCAAGAAGCTCATTAAGATCAAACAGAAATATTTGTTCATTGGTTGATATGGGAATGATCTTGGCTCGAAGTTCAGCAAGTTCAGAATCAAGTTTGCAATTGGGAAATTCTACTAAGGCGTATTTTAGTTGAGTGATAAACTTGATATTTGTTGGAAAATTCTTGTCATGAAATTGAATATCCGCTGAAGATTCTTCGTATACAAGTTGATGATATATTCCACATGTACCATTAGAGAGTCCGAGCTCTCTAGCCACGTTTTCTGTAAGTAAAACTGGCATTCCAGGCACAAGTAGTAAATAGGCTGAAAGATGCTCCGTTTTGTTGTCAGGTAATTCAAGAATCGTTTTTGCGAAACCGTAAGTCGTCTATAACCTTTCCTTGAAAATAATCTTGAGCAACACACACCATTGGTCGAAGTCCCATTTCCATTGCTTTATTTAACACAGCTCGATTGTTAATTTGAGTACGAAGTGTGTTTCGAAAAACGAGTATTGGAGCCTGTTAAAGAATGTATGATTACATGTAAAAAAAACACTGGGCGAACCTACTTCATTCTATGGCTTCTGTCGCAAAGATGCTTGTAGCTTTGGATTTTCAACGATACGTGTGCAAAGAAGTTGATAATCTTCAATTGTTGATTGCCCACTTCTCAATCTGTTTAAAAGCTCCAAATATCAGAGGTCTTCGGTTCGCATTTGCTGACTCAATTCAACTACGCAATTCATTTGAGATATAAGTTTCTAGGCACACTGCATATCTATTTTACGTTCCGTAATTTGTTCCGAAGACGCACAGCTGTGATAGAGAGGTCTATCCAACACTGGAGAATATTGCAGATAGTCCCAAAAAAAATCACACTTACACCACCAAAAGGAATCTTTGAATTTATATGCTTTGCTATTTTCACTATACGATTGAGACGAGCTAATAGGCTAAGTCCAACCATACTCATCTCATCGATTATCAAGTATTTGACATGACGCCATTCATTTTCCAACTTCGTATCGCCGGGTCTGAATGTTCGTGTTTGCTTCTCTTTGGAACTTTTGCGGCTTTCGTCTAAAAATGAATGAATGGTGAAACCATCAATTTCTGCTACTGCTATAGACGTTGATGCCAGTTTACGCAGCATTTTGCCCTCTTTGCTAGTTGGAAATATTGGGTGATTCCACTAATCAATTGAGATTTACCAGTGCCACCACAACCAGGTACACACATCAATAACTGGTTGTCAGTAGAGCCTAAATGATTATCACTAATGGCAATTTATAATCGACAATTTGAAAAATATATACCCGCGTGAATTTGGTTCTCACCATCTAGGTGGCTAGTAACAATCGTAAAAGCATACTTCTGCTGACTATTTAATGTGAATTGTTTGATGATATCCATTTTTGTTGTAAATGAGATTGCACTTATTATTGTCACAGGTGGCACTGCCGTAGTTTGTACCTTAAATGGACTGGTTGGTATTTCAGCCGCTACGACTTCAATCTGTACTTCATCATTTCTAATTTCCACAGTATTTTCACTTGAAAATAAATAACAAATAACGCTCGTCGTTTCGACTCACTTGACCCTCAACTGCATAAGGTTAAAATATGTTGCATAAATATTGATATTAATACAAGCGATGTGTAAATCTTCTTATTGAAGTGATTCAAAATTTTGTTAAGTTGTAAATATTGTAAGAAATACTTTTACTGTTTTGTGAAATAATTAATAGTAAATACCATTTTCAACTAAAATCTGTAAAGAAAACTGAATTATCTATATCTAACTTCACTGTAATTAGTACCCTAGTGAAACATCTTGTAAGTAAGATCTTGGCCAAGATCTTGGGTACAGATAAGTGAACAGATCTTGAAAATTTAGGTACAAGATAACTGTATTATTTTGTACCCAAGATCTTATTACAGATCTTAAGTAAGAATTCATAACATCTTGAATGGTGCATTCTGAAAGTGTGTTTGGTATTTTTTCAATATATTTTAATATTAACTATTCCTGTCCCGAATAGCTCAAGCAAGTCAGATGCTGAGATCTGACCGGCTTTAAGTTGGTCCGATATTCGCCAGACCAATTTAGGGTAGTCCTCTCTCGACCATCGATCGAGATCAGCATCCTCTCGATTAATCAATAGTCGAGAAATAGTTTAGAAAAAAACTTATTTTGTAAAGTTATGTTTTTGCATGTTCAATCATGTTGCTTATAT